TATTATTATTTTTTAATTAGTGCTTGAATCTTTTTGCACTGACAATGGCGGTTTTAATATGTAACAACTCAATGGAAGCAGAATCTGATATTTTATTAGCACACTGTTATGTACCCTATGGGACCAGGAAATTTGATTTTGGAGTACATCAAGTGGTCTGGTTACTGCAGGTACAATTTCTGAAAGTGACCAGAGCTGTGTTCAACAAATATTTGGAGGGACTGTTAGACTGAGGGGTGACCATGTTAGTGTTTGGGTTCTAAAGCTCAGGCCAGGACTTTTGCTATGTTCAGTGACCATGAAAGAGTTTATTCTAGGGGATACCACAATTAAATTTGGAAGCCATATTTATGTGATACAACGATTCCCAGCAATAGAAGATGTGAATCTGATAAAGTATGATTATATCTTCTGATACTGTGAACTACTATGCCATAATATCTCAAAGCTTTACTTTAAATACAAGAGCCTAGGAAAAAAAAAAGAAGAATGTCTCTTTACTGGGAAAAACATTGCCTCCAAGGATGAGTCAAAGGTGTTTCATTCATTTAGCACTGGCACAGAAAATTCAAAAGCTATTACAGAAGCTTAGCAGTAAAACCTTCCTACATGTTATTTCAAAATACCTTGTTCAGTCATTTAAATTTTGGGTTTAGATACTATGCCATAGAAGTCTCATTCATGTATGTATGTATGTAGGTAGGGCCTGATGTCTACATATGTCTACATCATATATGATGTCTACATACATATATTGTATACATACATACATATATGATATCTACATACATACTTACAGTACATTGTAACTTATTTGCGGGTCTTTATTAATCTCAGATAATCAAGATTTGTGGGCACAAAATCTCACTTTTATGCACAGAAAGTTTTGCATAATTCATTTTTTTATACATGCTGCAGACTGAAAAAAACATTTAATTCATCAACAGCAAGTCAGCTGTATTTGGGGACTGGTTAGCAATGTCAAGTTGACATCTCACATCTGTCTTTCAACTTTAGAATATGTGAATGGTTCTTCTCATTCAGGTTTCAGTGTTTGCATGGCTATTCTCTGGACTGTTCCCTTTTGTGGGGTGATGCAGTTCTCAGAGTGAAAGGTATAGTGAAAGTATAATTAATGGTGTGATATTTCCACACTGTTTACTTAACTGTATGTGTAATATTTTTAGTGAAAACAGTTAGTAAAGATGTGAGTTCAGTTAGAAGTCTCAAATAAAATGTCAGCTCTACAAATAAACAGGGCACAAGGAACTGAGATAAAATTATGTTTTCCCATTTGGAGTATACTTCACTGAATTTCACAAGATCAATCAGATGTACTTTCTTAGGCCTTTCACGAGTATCTCAGTCATAATCTGCTTAGGTTGATTTGCCTGAATAGTTGTACATCTCAGCATTAATCTCTTTCTCTGGTGGAAACTTACATGAATACATGCTTACACCTAATTGTTGAACACTTCAGTAAAAATAACGCTATAAATAACGCTATATTTACCTTCTTTTTTTTTTTTTTTTTTTTTTTTTTTTTTTTTTTTACCGAAATCTACATACTTTGATCAGTGAACCAGCATCCCATAGCAAATATGTAGTTACTGTTCTTCTTGTTAGGATAAGTCAAGTATTCAACAGGCTGAAACACTGAGGAGAAGGCTAATAATGCTTAGGGAGTGATGTAAGAATACAGCAACCATATGGGGATCATCTCCTCAGTATACTCTTCCACTCTGCAGTCATTTTTGAATCACAGATTTTCTGAAGCAGAGGTAATGCATTTGCTCTTAGTTTGTCTGATCACTTGCTGAACCCCTGCAAACTACAATACCCCAAGGAAAGGAATTCCTTTATTTTATCATGAATGGAGAGAAGAACTGCCTTCTTTTGTTTGCCTTGAATGTGTCAGATGCTATTTTCATTTCCCGCTCCTCAATTTTTGAACTGACAACAGCCACTTCCATTTAAACTTCGTCAGGACAGTTATTATTCTAAATATCTTGACTACATACCTTTTCAGCCATTTCTTTTTCAGACTTAGAAATGGTAATCTATGTAGTTTCTCTAAATATGCAAATTGTTCCAGGCCCTTTCATCATCCTTGTTGCCTTCTTCACCTTGTCTTGTTATACTTTATTCTATATTTTCTGAAATGCGGATAATGACCAGAGCTACAAGCAATATTCAGGACAAGGGCATAGTACAGGATTATATCAAGGATCTGAGATTTTCTTTCTACCATTTATGTTACTTAAATATTTTTAGTGGTAGTGGGATCAGGCAAATAGGGTGCACACGAATCACATTAATAGATACTACAATCTCTTGGCAAAAGCAAAAATGATCTTGCTTTTCTTGGCCACATATTTTTGGGTGTAAATACACATACATGCAAATGCTTCATGAATTCAGCAGAGCTGCAAAAAGGGCGTTGTGTCAGGAAAACAAAACACACACATCCCATAGGACATCCATCCCAGGGTGGGAGATTCTTCTGTTGTAGAAATTGTCTTAAATACATTGGCCTGTGTGACTATGCTGAAGTCAAATTCAGGACAGAGATAATATCCTTCCTACTGAGAAAGACAAGCAGTAGTAGTAGCACTGTTACATGGGCCTTTCACCCCTTTTACCATGAGGCAAGTTCTGAGAGAAGAGGTGGTATCTTACATTTCTCCAAATGTATCAGATGATCTAAAAAATATTTTATTTCACAGTCACTTTCTGAACAAGCCTTTTAAACTTCTTTTGATGAGAGGGTAGTTGCCAGCAGAGGTCACCATTGCTGTAGCTGATTTGAAAGATACTGAGTTTCACTACGTTTTATTGGACTAAGATTTAAAGGATAAATAAATATTTCTAAATGCACCAATACCATCATTTGACTTTTGGTGCTAGAATATTAAACCTTTCGGAATTAAAACATTAATTTTACTAACTCTTTGTTTTTAACATCAAAATTTGTTCTTTAGAACTTAGGAAATGGTAGAATGTTATCTTCTCAAAATCATGAATATTTTTTCCTCATGCCTTCAATTTAATTCAATTAATGCACTTACTATGAATGCAATATTCTATCAGTTCCAAAAGCATATTGGAGAAACAGAAAAACAATGGAATTTGCACTTAAAGGACCATTTTTATGTCCAAAGTCATGGAGCAGTAAGTGAATTTATGGGACTGATTCTACTGATGGAAATAATCTAGCTTTTAAATGTATTCTATCTGGCCCTTGTTCTGGGTATCCCATTAAAGAATTTTTCACTTTAAAGTGCTAATCTTAATACATATTTTATGTATTTTTCTAATCTTATGTTTTGAATTAGCGTGTTACAGTGATTACATAAACTGCCTAATCATTCTATGTAGTAACTGTTTACTTAGTATAAGGGTTAGAATGATCCTTTATGCTCATTGTAATTTTCCACTGAACTTAAATGAAGACATCTGATAAGATGATTTAAGCTTTTGATTTGAGAAAATGGACACTGCTTAGCTAAGAGAGTGAGAAAAAGAAAACCACAATTACTTTCTTTGCTACCCTTTTGTCAGACTGACAGAACCCTTTAGGGTGAGTGGCTGGGATCAATCCAGATATGAAAGTACTATTACTATACTGCACACATTTGTCAGAAAGAATTCCTCTCCAGACCTTGTTGAAATTTATTAAAATATTATTAATGTATAGATATATTAATATATTTGAGGGACAAATAATTCTTATTATACAATGTTAACACTTGAAAATATTTGGCTCTTCATTACACCATCTTTTTTGTGAAAGTGCAAAAAATATTATAACCGTCTGAGTTGCAGACAAACGTAGAATGGTAGCTGGCAGGATAATTTTCAGGCTTTCACAGAAGCCTGCTTTCCATAATATCTGAAGCATCTCAGAAGTGCAAAGAATATGAACTTACAGTCAAATCAGCTTCTTGCTTATCTTTTTGTAGGTAATTGTCACATTTTATTTTGGCTCAGCAAAAAAGTACTGAAAAAACTTTATTGTAATACACTAACACGTGAAAGCACCCATAAATTATCTGTATTATTGTTACAATGCAACTTCGAAGTCATGACAACTTGGAAAAACCAGCCTGACAAGCATGATAACTTTCACTGTTTCTCTAAAACTTCTTGAGCATATAAGGAAAATTTAAAGTGAGGAAAGCAACTGAAGCACAGTTTTTGTTTTCAGCACACAAACTCTGCATCTCTGTGACTGGGATCCTCGTTTTTGTCTCTGACTAATGTACTAGGTAAGACAGCTTAATCACCCAGTATAAATCAATAAACATTGTCAGTGTCAGTCTGTCAAGGCAGCAGGGAATTTGTAAGCTTTTCCAACTAGACTTCCTGGAGGATAGACGTAGGGAAAACTACAGCTCTCCATATAGCTAGAAGGATTCTGCTCATAAATCATGCTTTGATTTACCAGAATTCCTATTTATTTATATTAGAAAAGAAAGGATTTCTTATCTTAAAATTAAGTAGAATTATCTTAAAAAAAAAAAAAAAAAAAAAAGGAAAGACTTAAATAAGCCTTACTACTCAGAACTGAGACAGTAAAGAATGTAGAAGTAACTGCAGTATTATGCAAATAAAACTAAGTTTTGATTTACCTGGATAAAAACAATGAGAAGAATACTTACCTGTCTCTAAGGTTAAGCTGTTCTTACTAAAGATCTGTTTCAAGCTTTGAATTTAAGCACAAATGCTTTATGAATATGTTCCAGATGTGCATGCAGTTTAACCTGCATTAGTAAATGCAATTTTCAGTTTTATTAGACCAAGCTTTTCTGAGCAGATGTTATTTTTAAGCAATGAGGACTCCATATTTCAAAGACATCTGATCTGTGCCTCTTCAAGAGAGTGAAAATCACAGTACAGCAAAAACGCATTGGCTGATTTTGAAGATACCAAACTTCCACAACTGGTGCAACAGCCACATTACTTGTTTTGAGAAAACTGACTATTGTGGGGTCACTCACCTTAGAGCTGTATCACTCGACACCGGGGGAACAGGGAATCTGGAGAGTTGTCCAAGCTGTTTTGTAGTCTGTAGCACCCCAGTCCGTGGACACTTTCCCAAGCCAAAAGAGCCATTCACATTCCCTCTGCCTTTCCAGCCTCATTCACTGCTCTCAGGGCTCAGCTAGCTGCACTGACTCACAGAAATGAAGCTCCCTCTGGGTCCTAGTGCTGTAAACGTGTGGGAGCTGCACGGACTCGTAGGAATTCAGCCGTTGGCTTGGTGCCTAGTCCATGCAGTGATGCACAGATGTGCAGTGAAAGTTTCAAAGCGTGCGCTGGTTGTATGACTATGCATACATAATACAGAGAAAAGCCTCTAACTTCCTGGTTCCAATCCCTGAAACTCTTTCAGGGATCTTTTGTCATTAGCATTTCTACTTTACATCTTAATCCTTGCACTCAATTTAAAGAAACTTTGGGCTCCCTGATGAATAGGTTCTTTTCAAATTGATCTCTAAAGCCCTTTACTCCTGTCATCAGTCTATACTGTTCCTAAAGGAACACTAATAGTTAACTGGTGTAGCAGTGGACTGGGTTGTCTGCAAAAATTGTGCAGTCCTGTTACCAGCAGCCTTTAACAGAGGTCACCGAACACTGATCAAGAGTAGCAGAGAAATGTTTGATGCTGACTTAGGGCAGAGGAAAAAGATGACAGAAAACCCCTTCCAGCTATAATGTTCTGTTTAACATGTTTACCTTAAGCAGCAAAGAAATATGGAGATGTTTTCCATTATTTTTTGTGAAGGAGGATTAAGCACTTGTAACAAAACAACAGTGTAGTTATTAAAATTAATTTATCGTTGATAAATAGATAGAAGAAATACAAAACTGAAAAAGTGCATGATACCAAAAAAAAAAAAAAAAAAAAGCAATAGACAGTTGGCTAACTACATTGAGAAGCAGATACCTGGATTTCATAGTTCTCATTCTAGCAAAGTGTAACCTTTGTAATTACACAGAAACATAAGGAATAAGAAATAGATTGTCATCTTCAGAAACCCAGCCCTCTGCGCTTTATCGATGTGGAAATAATCAAACATTTTCTCATTCTGTCCAGTAGAGGGCAGCCATCTGGAGAGGCTTGCCCTTAAAATTCTTTGGGCAAGAAAAAGAATGTGGAATGTACTATGTAGAGGTGTAGAGCAACAAGGCAAAGTAGCTTTGAGATAATTTTTCTTACTTGCCAAATGGATATGTCGTTTTTTGAACCTGAACCAAAAATATCTTCACATTTTATTAAAGCTAGTAGACAAATCTTGCATTCCTTCCTCATAGTGCCAAAGATAACAGTGGCTTCAGTGCTAGACTCCTTCTTAGAGGTGGTGTCCATTTAAAATCGCCTGAAATATCCATAAAGAAATTGCAGCACAAAAAGATTAATGCAAGTGCGAAAATAGTTTGCCAGAACTATGCAGTTCAGATTGCTTTATTTTTCTACGAGAAAAATGCTTTCCACACATGATATCAGTCACAGGCCAAAGTGTGATGTCTTCATTCACACAGCTGGCCATCAGAGTTTCAGAAAAAACTCTTGACCTCGGTATTTGGCCTTAGCTTCATATTTCATTGCAGAAATGCCAGGCTATTCTTGTGTTGAGTGAGCATTTGTCTCGCTTTGTTAGAATATCCTTCGATTAGGACTTTGTGCTAGAAGATTTGAAAGAGGATTGTTGCCCACTGTAACTGTAGCAAACAGCATCAAAACTGAGAAAAAGATATGCTTTGTTGTTTTGTTTTTACTTAAAAGTTACTACATGCATGTGTTCAGCATCTCTACAGTTGATTTCTTGGCAAGAGCTGCCAATTTTTCTTATGGTATGATCACAAAAGCTCTTCTGGGCACAGTATACAATAATGTACTGTTTGTACTTTATCCAATAGCACTTATGTCTAAAGAAATCCTCCTCTTGTACCTTATTTTTGTACCTCTTGAGTTTATACCAGGAGGCTGATATGAATGAGCAAGAGAGCTGCTACAATCTCTGGGAAAAAGCACTGGCTTGTATTCTTTGCTTTTATCTTCCCATATACCCCAAACAAACAACTTTTCTAGTTTCTGGAGTAGGTGTGGTCCTACAGGCACACTAGCAACGCACAGAAGAATGCTTAATTCCAGCTGGAACACTATAGTCACAGCTGAGCAGCTGAAAGCATTGTACAGCAGTCATGTGTCTTTTAGCAGTGGTCTGAACCACAGATTTAGAGAGAAAAGTTTTACTACATGTATGCTTCCTTAAATTTTATTAATTTTATTGATATACATGATATGAAATTTTATTCATATACATGAACTGAGGATTCTCTTGCTTTGGCAAGCCACTAATAATAATAATAATGTTTGGCTGAGTAAGGAAACTGAAACTCTACTGTAATAGTTCCAGCTCCACCATGGTCTCTTGTATGAGCTTTATTATGCAGTATTTCTGTTTCCCCTGAAGATTAAATGAATTCAACCTGTTCCTGAGAAGTACTGTCATGTAGTGCACTAACAGCTTTAATTTCAAGGAAAAATAAGCACTCAGACCAAAATGGAGAATAGCCCTTTTGAGAATGCTGATTACAGGTAAAATGGTTTGTACTCTGCTGGCTCTAGAGCTGTCTGTTCTGATTACTAGACTGAGTTTAGTGTTGCCCTAAGCCTCACAATAGTAACAGTGGATTGCCACAGCCTCTTCCTCCTACATCAGCACCTTTCCAGAAAGTTAGAGGGTGAAGGACTCACAGGGTATGAAAAAAAAGTGTCTTGTGCTTTTGTGTGCTTAGGATTGTAAGAGGGCCTGAGGACTGTAGGTGTATTTCTCCTGGAGTCAGTGTCTCTTGTGCTGCTGAAAGCATGCCAGGAAAGGTATTTGAGAAGAAGTGGCTGGGTTTTTCCATTTAGAAGCAACGCTCTTCAAAGAAAAAAGCTGCCAAAAAAAATTATAAACAGTTTTAATTTATTTCTGAAATCTTTATGGATGTGGCAGTAACACAGGTGAGTAGAGCTGCTGTTCCTAAAATCTTGACACTTTGCAGAGGTGTTAGGATGCTGAGAAAGGGGCTTACAAGCTCATGCTTTTGAGAGATCCCATAAAAGTATAGGAGGATGGCATGAGGATAAATAGACTTGTTTTCTTCTGACACACATATTAATGTGTGTGTGTGGTGTGTGTGTGTGTGCGTGCAGACAACTACATTCAATACTTCCTTGTAATACTAAGTCTCTACGTGAAAAATATGTATCAAAAATAACATCCTTCCCCTAGCTGTTCGGAGGTGTTTAGATGTAAGTGCAATAAAAGTCTTAAGCATCTCAAATGAGGCATTCAGCGTGTTAGATAGTGTCTGTTTTACCTAAAAGAAAATTTATCATTTCCAGTTTTTAAAATGTGCAGAAAAGAGAACATAGTTATCTTGTGTAAACTTGTCTGATAGCTCTTGTCCTAAGGCTAAATTGAATGTGAAGTGATAGTAAACTTTTGCCTTAATAGTTACCTGGAGGAAGCTTGCCCATGTTGCAAGATACATGTTAATCAAGAGGCTGAGGGGAATCATCACGATGCAAATTCTCTTTTTGTGTTAGTTAAAAATGAAAAAACTGATACAGGAATTGAATGGTCTGTTGTCTTAGTTTATGTATCTTTATGTGTATGGCAGAAGTTACTAGAAAAAAGCAGGTCGCTTGTGGGTCATGAATAAATAGGTCAGACAAACAAGTTCATTACTGATTACTGTAAGACTCAATCTCCTGTAAATATTTTCTTAACTGTTTCTACAATATGGCTTCTCAACTGAATCAATAACACAGCCAGAATGTAGCTTGGGCACATTGGAAAATTGATTTGTACATGATGCATTTCTGATACACTGCAATTCAAACCAAGTGGTGATTAGAAACATTCATTTATGGTGAATTATGGAAGTAATTTGCACTAGTCTTTTCTTTCTGTTTTGGTTGTTTATGTAAGGAAAACATCTGAAAAGCCCAAGCCTACTGAAAGCAAAATGTGTTGATTGTTCAAGTGCTGTTACATAGAATATAATTCTAATGGAAGTGATGTGTAGACAACATCTTGAAGCTCCTTCAAAGAGAGGTTCAGGCTGTATATCAGGAAAAGTTTTCTGCTAAGAGGGATATTTTTTTGGGGGGGGGAGGGGTGTCCTTTGTGGACCCAGGATTTGGACTTGATGATCCTTGTGGGTCCCTATGACAAAGCAGAGCTGTGAGAAAAACTTGACAGTACTCTTCAGACTCGGTAGAGGTTTTGCGTGATAGTTGTTTGGAAAGATGTAGTAACTACAAACATTTCTGCAATACACAATTCTGTTGGAATTAACACTCAACTATTGCTTTGCAATGAGGGTCAAAAAAGAGCATATGCACTACTTAAAAATGTTAAATGAACTATGAATTTTGAAAATTAGCACTTGGATGCTCAGATGGTTATTCCATGCTCCTCTTTAAGAATTAAAAAATTTAGTATATGTAGCTGCATAGTTGTTTTTTGTTGTTGTTGTTGTTTTTTCCCACAGGATGTAGGTTTTTTCACTTGGCTGAACCAGAGCTGGGTTGAAGTCTGAAGTCTCTTTGGAAACCATAAAGAATTTGTCAGGCAGAATTCACTATTTGTGAACTTTTGTATGAGGTCTCTCTTCATGGACAAAATCTCCCTTGATGCAATTTTGTATGGAGTACACATGCTCTGGTGTACTGCTAATATTTGCCTTCATTACAGGAGCATTTCAAAAACTAGTCAAATGCATGCTTTTTTAATTTTATTTTGTTTGTTTGTTTTGAGTGGATATATGCTACAAACACTGAGCTAGTATTAATTTTTATAAGATCCACGGAGTCTGACAGGTATATCATTTTGGGGGGGAATTAGCACTGTCAGTAAAGCTTATAGTTGTTTAAAGATTCATTCATCCAATGCAAGCAAACAATGAGACCATTCGTCAGGAAGTTTGGACATACTACCTGTTCCTGGATAGCAAGGCTATCACATGTGGATTCCCTGACAAACCTTTGCTTTAAGCTCTGTTCCCCTGCTTGCTGCAGAGGAATTTGGTACAGAAAGGAGTATTGGCTGTGGCATAGAATGATTTCTGTCTCCTGTTTGATCTGTGAAATAGGCCTCATGTTTTCTCTTCTCACTCTACTGCTCTTCTAACATTCTTTAATAGAGATTATTTCTCTTTGTCAAAGTCTAGCTTCATGATATATGCATAATGTGCTCTGAGATACTGAGAATAATTTGGCACTGCAGCCATACTTTGCTCATGACCTTT